GTAGAAAGATCAGTGTTAAGGAAGTGCCTAAATTCTCTCACTCTGAGAGATTTAAAGATTGTCCTCAGTGTCTTGATGGTTTGTACAAAATTCTTTATGAATTTTACACTTGGAAAATGATTATACTAGAAGTCATAGTCAGCTCCTAGAACAGGTCCAGCCAGAGCACTGAATGTATTGTTAACAGTAGCTTCCTGGTTACCCTAGCTTCCTAGCTCCTGGTATAGGCCACTGCTAATCCCTCAGAAACCAGGAGTCTGCATTGGTAACACAATCTGAAGTGGCATTACAGGCCTTTGAGCAAGCCAGAGCAACTTCTCTGTCAAAGTCAGAAGGCTGTTGCCTTCTTAACATCTGTCTGTATGAGTCTATTCATCTATATATTTGACCTTGGCTGACTTTCTCTGACTCACTGCTTTCTTGCTTGTTTCCTTGCTTTGGAAGGTGATCTAAGATGCGCACACAACCATTTAGGAAGGAAATTGCTACAGAATACCAGTGCAAAGAGATAGAGAAGGGATAAGGAACAAGGGAGTGGCCAGGCTGGATGGCTCAAGTATAAATGAATGATGAATTATTTATGAAGTATCGGTCTGACTTTGTGATCAAGTGATGTAATATAGAAATCGTATAAAAGGGAAGAATTGTCTGATACTGATCTATTAGAGAAGTATTTCAGAGGCTCCTTGACTTGCATGTTTAAAATTCCTAAGATTATGGCTTTTCTCTCCTTTTGGCTGTATAATGAACTTTAATCCACGGTTGTGCCTTGTTGTTCCATTAAAATTGTATTCTTCAATCCATCAATAAGTACTTGTGGTTAAAAAAAAAAAGAAGAAGGAGAAGGAAGAGGAGGAGGAGGAGGCAGTGACAGCAGTCAGGCAGCTTCCACCTTTTCTCTCTTGGAACCCAGTCACCATTGTGTAAGGAAGCCCAAGCAGCCATGAGAAAAGGCCCACATGGAGAATTGAAGACCCAAGCTGACAGCAGCAACTTGCTAGCCTGATGAGTGACCCATCTTGCAAGTGGATCCTCTAGCCCCAGTCAAGCCACTCCACCTGATGTCACATGGTGCAGAGATGAATCGTTCCCACAAATCCTTCCAAAATTGCAAAATCTTGAGCAAATAAATGATTGCTGCTGTCTTGAGCAATAGGTCACTGACATAGTGGGAAATGGCATTTAGGAAGCTAGGCATACTCATTGCCACTGGGTGTCATTATTTCTAGGTCCTTTTCAGTTGACAGAGCTAGGAAATATGCGTTAGATTATCAGGAGTTTATACTGATACCTCCAATTCTAATCTAACTCCACAGGATCTCCACCTTTTCTTACCCCCATCCATATTTGTATTCACCCTCTTCCACAATAAAAACCCTGGTTTCCAGATTTCCGGCAAAATGGTGCTCTAGGTAGAAGCACCACGCCCGTCCCTCCACAGCAAAGATCCGAAAAACTAAGCCGAGCAGAGAAAACAGCAATCCTGAAACCCTAAAACACCAAATGAAGAGATAAAGAACTCAGCCAAGCACCAAATGGAGTGAGAAAACTGACAGAGAACGGAGAGTGAGGAGAGATTCGTGCAGAGGTCCCCTATCAGCTAACGCAGCACGGATCCACCATCTTGGACTCCTATCGGAGACCAGCAAACAGGGGGTACAAGAAAGCAGCTTCACAGAGCTTCCAGTGGGAGACAAAACAACCGGTAATTTGTGATATATGCTTTCCCATCTCCCACCCTTCTTCACCCCAACTTGGCCTCCTCTGCTTCCCGCGGCCACAGTGTCTTGTCTGGGAAGCACCAACTGCTTGGATTACACCCGCAAGCACTGGCTGGCTCTCTGAGTGCCATTTGTTGGCTGCTGGTGTTGCTTTTTTCCGCTTCTTTTGATTTCTTCCTTACCTCTCACCACCTCCCCCTCCTTTCGCTCAAATACCTGGCTCCGTGCGCCATCTTTGCTTCTTCCTGAAGGGCTCTGGAGCTCCGTTCGAGTGTGGAACTACTTCCCGGTCTGGGCTGCCAAGCTGGTGGGATCCCAGGGCTTTTGTTTGTTTGTTTTGAATTGTTTGTTTGTTTTCTTTTCCTTTTCTTGAGTTGGGAGCCCGTTCTGGCCAGGCGGTGCTGCGTGGCTTGGAACCTACCCCCTCAGCTTGTGCAGAAGAGCAGAGGGATCCCTGAGGGCAGTTCTTTTTTTGTGGTTTTCTTTTTTTTCTGTTTTTTTGGGGGGCTTTTCTTGTTCTTTTTTTTTTTAATTTGTTTTGTTTTCTTTTTCCTCATTTTCTCTTTTTGTCTTTCTTCATTACTCAGTTTCTCATCTCTCTATACCTTCCTTCTCTTTCTGTTCCCTGAATACCTGGCTCTGAATACCTCTATGCCTTCTAGGCAGGCTGTACTGCAACACCTGAGAACAACTTCTCCAGAGCTCATAGCCCCACCAGTGGGATCCCTGGGAACATTGCTGTTCTTTTCCCTTTGTAATTTTTATTTATTCTTTCTTTTCTTTTCTTCTTCTTCCCCTTTTTTTCTCCATTTCATAGTCTCTCATCTCTCCACTCCAACGGCAAGCTCCCCTAGCATTCTTTTTTGTTTCTTTGTATGTTTTTGGCTCCTGTTCCTCTCTCCTCTCTCCCAAATCCATCTTAGCTCCACACATAACAATCTCTCCGCTGCATCCTGCCTACCTGCACCGTGCGCTTGACATCACACCACCAAGCAGCACAGGCACGACCTACTGGAACCTGCCCTGCGCTGATTACTGAGCCGCTCTGGTGACTGTAGTAAGGGTCACAAACAACCCGTCCCAGTAACTCCTCTTCAGCTAGACCTGCCCTGCCATACCATATCTGAGTGACTGACCCTGACAATTGGAGAAAGAGGTGAAAAGTATTGTGCCCACAGACAAGCAAACAACAAAGAACACACAGTCTGCCTGCCCAGACATAGTCAAATTTTTTTTTTAAAAAAAGGATGAAACAAACAAATCTACAATCAATAAAAGAGAAAACTAACTACTGAATGCCCCGAAGACAGCAGACAATATCAAAACATTTACAAAAACAGGACAGGATGGTTCCAGTAGGTGTCCAAAATAAAACACCAGGTGACTTTCCAGTGGAAGAAAAGGCACTAGCACTACCTGATAGGCAATTCAAATCTCTAATACT